TGACTAAATCACGACCTGTCCCTTGGACGCGAGCCGGCACGCCTTTGTTCGCAAGCGCCTGAGTGTCGTCAGCAGACTTGTGTAGCCTGGCGTTACGCGCGGTGTGGCGAGGCGTGGCGGTGGCGGGGCGTGGCGGGGCATGGCGGGGCGGGGCGTGGTGGGGCGCAGCAGCGTGGCGCGGCGTGGTGTGACGGACCGTAGCTAGATAGTGCCGCCAGGCAGCCAGCTCACTGCTGTAAAGTGGAGGAGCCTCAAACACCGCCCTCCTACTCCGCGCCACACTGCGCCGCGCGCATCTTTTGTGCCCGGCTCAGCGCTGCTGTTGTGTCGCGACGGAGGGGTTCCCTGTAAAAACATCCCGCGGACCGCCGCCGTGGGGAAAGGCTGCTCAGAAGAGGAGGACGGCGACGATGAAGGTGTTTTAACAAGTGGGTGCAGCTGCTGGTGTCCCGCGCGAATGGCCATGCTAGATGTCGTGCCAAACTGTGCCATGCATAGAAAAGTGTAGTGAAAGCGGTGCCATTAAATCAAAAGTGTGTGACTTGTGGTGAAAAAGTGTACACTCGTAAACCACAAAAGGGTGTGTGACTTGGCCGCCCTTGGCCGTTAGGCCACGCATTTCCCTTTTGTGAGTGACATGACTGTCACACAAATTTTTCCGAATTTTTCTCTATGACACTTCGGCACCACGCAATTCTTTTAGTAGTTGAGTCGAGAATATGATTTTACTTTGCCGTGCGCGAGCGGCTCGTAACGCCCAGCGACACAACGCGGCATCGCTATTACGCGCCGCGACAAATTACTCACGGGAATGGCGTACCTGTCCGGCTCGGCCCCGCCCCGCCCCGTCCCGCCCCGATACGAGGCGCGCCTCTCTCAGCAGCAAAGCCGCAGAATTGATGAGGCAGGCACACAGCGCAGCCCAAGCGCAGCGCCACAAAATGCAGCACTTGCAACTTATTCGCCCCTCGGCCCCGCCCTCCCCATGGCATGCGCCACGCTACCCTGCCAAACACCGGAAAAGATTTGATGATTTTTTTAACATAAAAGGGTATGAAAATAATCCCAAAAGAACAGCTGTATAGCCAAGGGGTGCCCAACTCGAAAAATCATAGTGTGCACCGGATTACCTAACAGTAAGATTGCCTAGGATTACCTAGGATTACCAACGGTTACCAGTGATTACCAAAGATTACCGGTGATTACTAAAGATTACCGACGATTACCGTTGATTACCGACGATTACCTACCATTACAAATGATTACCAATGATTACCGACGATTACCAGTGATTACCAAGTCTGTGTAAACCTGATTACCACGCAGGGGCACCCGTCGGCTATGGCTTCGAGGCGGCCGCCCGGCGGGTAGGCAGCAGGCTCCCGCGAGGCGCGCGGGTGCAGAGCGCGTGGCCTACCCCGCGCTCGGCGGGCGCTCCACTCAGCCCCGTACTCGCGTGATGGGTAGTCCCTGTCCTCCGGGCGTCGCCGGAGGGAGGCGGGGCTCGCGACCGTGTTTGCATACGTCGCACACACGAGCGGGCACCACGTTTCAAACAGAAAGAGGCTGTAACGATGTTTCAGGCCCCGTTTGCTCGCGGGAAAAAGCAATCCAGATTAGGAAATGGCGCTTCCTGGCTAGCTTAGCAGCTCGACCCCTTTGCCGTCGTCCCGCCCCCGCCAGTTGCCAGTTGCCAGTTCCCCGCTCTCGCTTTCTCTCTCTCACACACAAGCACATCAGTCACGCGTGTACTCACCCGCTCGCCGTACTCGCCCTCCACTCCCACGGTGGACACGTACTTCCACCCCATGCTCGACACCACGTCCACCATGGCCTGCGCCTGGAAGTTGTCGGGCGGCACTACCCTCGAAAAGTAGCCGAAGCGGGACTTGTCGGACAGCTCCGTGCTGGTGGAGGCGTAGCTGATCTGCGGGATCTGTGAAAGTAAACAGAAAAAAAAAACTTTTATGAATAAGCTGCCATATCCATGACCATATGTAAACACGTTATTACACAGCATGACATAACATTTACATCGTACAGATCATATAGAGTTAATCAATAATGTCTGAAGTGAGAACTGCGCGCTATGTATTCATACTAAATATTTAAATTTAGTTTTCTTTCTTCGAAAATAATTTTTTTATCGCTTATTACATTATCAACCGATATTAGAAGTATTAAGTATCATGTATTTTTTACTTGGTGATTTACTTAAAAGGGTGTCGAACACTGCCGATGCCCCTCACTTCATTCTCTGCCCCTGCCCTATGCCCCGGGGAACGGGGAGAGCCACGGGGATTTCTTTTCTTCCCCCCTTGGGGACCTCTTTACTGTAACGTTTTTGCCTCCTGCGCCTCTCTCCTTTACAAGAGAGGGGGCGAGGGGGAAAAGGAGAGAAAAGAGGGGGCCTTGCCGGCCAAGCAACAAGCATGTAGTCGACTGAAAAAAGGGAAATCTCCCCTCCTACTTTGGCTTCTTGGCTGCTCGTGCCTTCTGACATCCCGTCCGGGTGGGCCCCGCCGGCCCCGCCCCGCCCCGCCGCTTTGCACGACAAAGCAGGGGTATGGGCAGGCGAGCGGGCGCCACGGTGGCGGCAGCGGCGCTAAACAAGGCCGCGTTCGGGGAGAGGGTCGGTCAGCAGTGCTGCGCCACTCCCCGGACGCGGCCCGGTTGCTGCTGCTGCTAGTGAAAGGCCCAAGGCCCAGCGGGGTGGCGAGCGTCTCTCCAGACCTGGTGGGGCCCAGGACTGGGGGTGTGGCATTGTGCGCACCCGACCTCTAAAAAGGGGGCGCAAAACGCCGCGCCGCCTCCTCTCTTACTTTATTTTTCCCTTTTTCAATATCGCCGACCGTTGCGCTTGTGGCCATGTGTAGGCGTTATACTACCGCAACCGTTTCGACTCCCCCATTGTCTTTAATTGCCTGAAGCTGGAGTCAGCCGCGCCACTGCTCACAGTGTACGTACAGCAGATGTGTGAATAAACAGAAACAAAGCACAAGCTCATGGTGGCCCAGAGTGAGAAAGGGGAGAGGGTGAAAGGAGAAAAAAGGCAACGCTCGCTGCGCTCCTAATTGCAAGACTACCCTTGTTAGGGTAATTGCTGCGACGCTGCGGTCGCCCCTCAACTCGATTATTGTTTCTCTTTTAATACTCTTGTCCTCAACCAATTCGCCAAAAAATATAGATTTGTTTGCCAATTTTTGTCCTTGAGTACAAAATGGTAGGAAATGTTATGTGTGACACACTCTTGGTACCTTTAAATCTTTTTACAAAATTTTTTTTGTGACATGAAGTAATTTGTAATTTAATATAAATCTATCAAGTAGGATACGTTGCTACGTGCATGTTACAGGCGGTGGAATGACGGCGCGTTTTCGAGTGCCCGCTGAATCGGACGGGCCTTGTGGATGAGGAAAAAAGAAAAGGGAAGGTGCGAAAAAGAAGGACCCGGATTATACTTCCTTTCAGGCTACCTTGGGCTACACGGCAGCCTCCGCTCCAAGTCCGACCCCTCGCTGTGCCTCCAGCGCTTCCTAATTTACCTCTAAACCGACCCTCCAATCTTGATTTTCGCTCGTTTACTCTGCTCTCCTCTCCCCACGTCGCTTAAAAAAGGATTACGTATGCCAACCTTCCTTTTGCGTAGAAAGGAAAGAGAGCTGAGAGAGGGAGAAGGGTACATCACATCCTACGAAAACAGGAAATGTACGAGTAAGTTAACTTCTTTCACGTTCCTTCCACCATATTATGCTGCCGATCGCACGAGAAATAACGTGAAAGCGCAGAAATTACATCTTTAGAGACTCCTATACGGACGGTAACGCGATGGGGCCACGACTCCCGTAATCCTGTGTACAGATGGAAATGTAACCCAATGTAATCCGTGTAATACTTATCCAAATTTTGAAATTATCATTAAATTTCATACCTTATTGTCTAAATTAAAAAAAATTATACCCCTAGAAGTTCAACAAAATTCATGTGTTGTCTCTCAAAATTCACGTGTAATCCTTGCAATCACGAAATCCTGCGTATACGTCCTAAATCGAAGTGGTGGCCCCTTCGCGGCCACGGCTTGGCTCTACAGCGCGCATGCTTAGGGAAGCGGTGAGAAGGAACCATCGCCTTTGAGGGATTACCAGAATCGTTTCCCACAGCGCCAACCCTGGCTTGAAACGAGTCGTCGCTACTCACACAAGCGCAGAGAGACCGCAAAGTGATAAGGACCGCGAACGCGAACCGAACGCCTGCACCAATTAAAACTCGAAGAGTCCCTCGAGCGCAAAACGTATACCCTGTAGTCGGGCCATGACCTTATCGTGCATTCTGTCGTTTTTGAGAAATTTTGCGGACGAAACCGGCAACTTAAGGTTAACCATCTGGTATCATTTTCTTTACCATTTAAAAAAAATATTTTATTTTAGTTTTACATTTTTCCTTTTTTGTACGCTTAGGGTGATTTTCAAATCTCTCTCCCTCTCTCTCTCTTGCTCTCCCTCTCTCGCCATCCCTCCCTCTCCCCCTCTCTCTGACCCGCGCTTAGACAGCCCGTGGCCCAACTTTAGATTGATGAAAATCCGAGGAAAGTTTAAATCCACACCCACTGTAGACCGGCCTGGCAGATTCCTGGACTTGAAGGAAACTTATCAGGTGGGCACCCACCGGCAGCGCCCGCCCAGTATGCCGGCCCACAGAGTGGCTTAAATCTCACGCATTCAGCCGCACAGACTATCTAAAAGTTAAGTAGGGCCATTTTGCCTGTTGGTCGCTCCATACTGAATGCATACATTCCAGCTCCCGTAACGCCTCTTCTAAAAGTCACGGGGGAAGGGCAGAGAATGATTTTCTGGATCAGGTATGGTTTTTCAGCGATAAGCATAAAATATGGTTGTGACAACAATCCGCCAACGGAGAAAACCGTATTCTTGGTTGATACACCTGTGCTGTTGTTGCCTCAACCATCCACTCGATGCTAAAAAACTCAATTAAAGAATTAGTTTAAAACGCCTAATCTTAGAAATTTGGCATTATTAACAAAAAAAAATCGACACCATGGCCTATTTTATTGTTGCGAGAAATTGGATCGCCTTTTAAAGTGCCGTCTATTTTTCAGGTGTATCGAATGCGATCGGTTCTCTAATATTTTCGCAGGCCGTCCGACGCACACGGCTTCGCAGAGAGCAAAGTTGGAACAACGCCTCCGGGGTCCTGCGGGGTGCTCTGTGGGGCCCCGAGAGCCCTGCGGGGGCTATGCCGGAGTGGCAAGGCGCGCTTACCGATGTTTATGACTCTTGCGGCGGAACTTTCATTTCAACTCATCTTTTTACGGCACCCAAGTTGGACTGATAAAGGAAAATATTTATGTCTGGTGCCACTGATGCCCCAATCACATTATGGACACAACTCACAACCAAAAACAGCACAGCGAGAGAAGTTTGATAAAAGCAAAAGGGTGTGTGGCGCGCGGCAACAGAAACGAAGGACCGAATTCCGAGTGATAACAAGCTTGAGCTGCCCTTGAGTCTGCCACAAACCAATTTTGCAACTTCCGCTTCGCTCTGCCGGCAACTCAGGAGCAGCAAGAAAGGCCTAACAGCGGACCTTGCTAAAAAATCAAAAGAAAATTCCTGCCCGTTCAACTTAGGTAGGGCGAGTATCCATGTCATTTAAAAAACGTAAATATGTTTCTGACAAAGTCCCGGGGGGAAAGGGAGGGGGCAGAAAGAGAAAGGTAAGGAATTATTTTAAGCGGTAAGAAAGAGCTGGCTTTTGCTCTAAGTGGCTAACTTAGGTCCGAAGCCGGGCTGGGCAGGGCAGGTCGGGGCACGCCCAGCCCATTCCGGCCTGATGGCTCTGTAAGTGGCTCAGGGACCTGTGAACGGCCAAGTGCGAGTGGTCTAGGAGAGAGACAGAACAGAGACGGAGAGAGGGAAGGAGGGGGAGAGAGGGAGAGAGGGAGAGGGAGAGGGAGAGAGAGAGAGAGAGAGAGAGAGAGAGAGAGAGAGAGAGCGGGGGGCGTTCCTAATGCCCGCCTTGGGAGCGATGTTATGAGTGGCGGTATGTCTTCGGTACAATGGTAACATCGCTCGCCTTCTTACGTCGGCTTGGGAACCGGCTCCGGTCTGCACCCTCCAGCCGAGCCGAGCCCCGCCGACCCCGGCCCGCGAGCCCCTCGGTGAGCTTCTCGGGGGCCCGGCCGGACCGAGAACAACTAAATTGATAATGGATATAGATTGGGCCCCAGGGCCGCGCGCCACGCCAAGCCCCTCTGCGGAGCGCCCGCATCCGCCCCGCCGCTCACCGCCAGTCATATTAGGGAAATACTACTCAATATAAGTTCAAACCAATGTTGGGAGGAGGACACACTTGACAGAACACAGCTTAATTAGGCGGCCTCAATATTATTTTGGGGTTGTTTCAGTTCTTCTTGTGACATGGTTACTTGGCTGACGGCCAATTCTATCCCGTGTTCGGAATTGCACTGCTACATGGGCCAGAATCAAGCGCGGATGCGGCAGCGTTTTGAGACGTATCTGGATTCCTAACCTGACAGAGCTTTGAAATTTAAAGGTTCAGACCCTTCACAATCAAGCGGGTCTCACAATAAATGGCACAGACATTGCATTTTCCAGCATATTTCCGTTGAATTTTAAAGAATTTGCAAAGGCAAAATGTGTTCAAAGACATTAAAAATTAGCATCCCTATGCAAGGCAGTAAAACTGCCCACCCCAAAAAATGTGGTCTCAATTCCAGAACTGCAATGAAAATTTCAAGTACAGTTCTTGAACACTTTTTGGACACTTTGCATGGCCAGTCAAATACTTGGGTACTTATTTCCATGCAGCTTTATGTACCGAAAGATACACATTGTTAGGCCTTAGTAAATAACGGACCCTTTGTAAAGAAGTCCTACATTTGTTTTTCCAGTGCAG